ACTCCCGGACCCGCGTTTCCTCCTGCTCCACGAGGGCACCGTGTCTGTGGGCTGCTGTGTCGCCCGTGAGCAGGTGCCGGGTGCTGGCTGCACCTGGCGAAAAAAAAAGGCGGCCGGGGAGGTCAGCGCCCCACGGAGATCCTGGGGTCCCACACTCACCCCCTCACCTCGCACACCCTGGGCTTTCGGAGACCAGACTGCTAGGCAGGACCTGTCTCTGCTCAGTCTCAGGCCGCCGCCGTGGAGCTCCCTCTGTGCGAACCGCCTGCACCCACGGCACGTGCAGGTGCGGTGGGGGGGTGCGGGGGGCTCACGGTCTGTCACTGGGGGCAGGGGAGATGGAAGGGGCTCGCGGACTTGGTCTCCGCCCTCCTGGACGGCTCTCACCGGGTACTGCCGACTTCTGGCAACACAACTCTAACTGGGGTGCTATCGGTGACAGTTTCTCTTAAAAACATCCATGTGCCTGGCCGGCGTGGCTCAGTGGTTGAGCGTCGACCTATGAACCAGAAGGTCAGGGTTCGATTCCCGGTCAAGGGCACAGGCCCAGGTTGCAGGCTCGATCCCCACTGTGGGGCGTACAGGAGGCAGCTGATCAACTAGTCTCTCATCACTGATGTTTCTATCCCTCTCTGTCCCCAGTGCGGGGCGTGCAGGAGGCAGCTGATCAATGATTCTCATCATTGATGTTTCTCTCTCTCTCTCCCTCGCCCTTCCTCTCTGAAATCAAAAAAATGTATTTAAAAATAAAAATTAAATTAAAAAATTGTGGTTTGTGTCAGAGCCAGAGAGATGTCTCCTATTAAAAAACACACAAACCCAAGATGTTCGCTTCAGCGTTGGGACCATGCGGCCGACAGCATCCCGTCCTGTGATAGATAACACGCCTCCCTCTCCCACCAGCCCTGCCGCGCCCAGCCAGGCACCACGGGGCAGAGGAAGACGCGTTTCACCCGTCTGCAGGGACAGCGCTCTCACAGGCGGGGGCTGGACAGAGGAAGCGGCCGCGGGCGGCTCCGTGGGCGGCCACGGTCACGTGGGTGACGCAGGTGCGTTTCCCGAGGCCCAGCCGGCGCCGGCCCAGGGCCACCATCCTCGCCACCTTCCTGCCACCCAGCCCCAGGCTCACCTCAAGTACTGAGCTGTGAAAGTCAGAGTCCCGTTGGGAAAAGCAGGCGACTCCCATTCCAGAATGTTCTTGAAATTAACGGAATTCATTCTGACATTTTCAGGAGGAGGCACCATTCCTAATGCTGTAAAAATCAAGGGAAAACGGTTGCGACTTTTTCCCTGAAAGGTCACCGCAGCTTGGCCAGCTGGGCCAGTGGTTAGAGCGCCCGCCTGTGCACCGAAGGGCTGAGGGTTCGCCTCCCAGTCAAGGTCAAGTACCTGGGTTGCAGGTTCAATCCCTGTTTCCAGTTGGGGCACATGCATGTGGGAGGCAGCCAACAGACGTGTCTCTCTCACATTGATGTTTCTCTCTCTCTCTCTCTCCCCCCTCCCCCCCTCCTTTCTACTCTCTCTGAAAATCAATGGAAAAAATATCCTCGGGTAAGGATTAAAAAAAAAAAAGGTCGGCCAAGAAAATGACCAGGTCCAACCCTCAGGTCTCCCCTACGGCTCCCCGTCTTCCCATGGGCGTGGGTGAGGGAGAGGAAGGGGTGAGGCGGGCAGGTGGGTTTGGACAGACTCCCAGAGGCATCGACTCTAGACCTCAGGCACGTTTGCTGCGGAGACGGGGAACTTACTCTCCACCCCTGGCCTGAGCACCTGATGCCGACGCCGGGTGGGGCTGGGGGCTGGGGAGGCGAGGGCGCACTCCAGCAGCATGAGGCTTGGGGTGCATGCCCCAGGGTGTCTGGGACAGCAGGATGAGTGACTCTGAGACCTGAGATGGAAATCATTTTAAAACTTGTTACGAGAACATGTCAAACATCCACAAAAGCAGAGAGAGGAGAATAGAACCCCACTGGCCTGTCACCCAGCAGCACCCACAGAGGGGTCTGAGCTGTGGCCGCGGCTGGCTGAGGATGGGTGTGGGGAAGGAGGGCCCGGCATGGACCCGGCAGGTGGAGGGTCCCTGTGGGAACAGCAAGGGGAAGGGGACTCTGGGAGAGCACATGTCCCTGTGTCCCCGTGTCCCCGTGTCCGGGAGGCCGGGCGCGTCCGCCCAAAAGGAAGGAGGACAGGCCGTCCCGAGAGCGTGGGACCAGGGGGCTGGGACTTCGATGGCCTTGAGTTTTAAATCCTCGCCTGGAGACCACATCTTTCCACTTCTCGGAGCCGGGTCTCTCCCCCCAGCAGGCGGAGGCAGCAGCCAGGCGGGAGGTCCGGGCACCAGTGGGACCCCTGCAGGTGGAAGGGACACCCCGGCCTCAGTTCCGTTCCAGCTCCTGAGCCTGGGGTGGCCACCCCACGACTCTCCAGGGAGACAGGCAGGCAGGGGCGGGGTCAGGGCCGCCCCCAAGCCGGGAGGGGGTTCCTCGCCTCCTCTCCTCCCCCACCAGCCCCCAGCACCCCAGCCTCCAGCCTCTACCCAGTCTGTCACCTCCCCGGCTTTGGGGAGCTGGGCGAGCCCATCCTCCTGGAGCGCCATTCAGGATACAGCAGCTGTCTCTCCCCTGCGCCCACGTCTAGTGTCCGCCCTGGCGGGTGGGGGCACCGACTCTGTCGTCCAGGGCGGGAAAGGTGTCCCTGGACCTGGGGCTCGGAACCAGAGCTTGGAGCTGGGGGCAGAACCGGAGGGCGGGGTGCTGAGTGCCGAATGGGCCAGTGAACGCTGGTGACTTGCAGGGTGTCTAAGGGGACCCCTCAGGGTGGCCCTTGGGGTC